TATATATATAGTATATATATATATATATATATATATATATATATATATATATATATATATATATATATATATATATATATATATATATATATATATATATATACATATATATCTGTAGCCTTGTACATCGATATCGGCCCTACATATACTCCATAACACCTGCGCTGTAAATATACATAAATTTCTACTCAGACATACCTAGCATACACACTACACGTTACAAGAGATGTGCATGCGGAAACATAACGAATATCCGATGGCATGTATGAATATATGTATTTTGGTATGCCTATGTACCTATGATAGTAATGCACTATGTCAACACCTGATGCGATACTTCTTGATATAGGGCCAGTTGTCATGACAACGCTGACAGATGCGAAGCGCAAGTCATCAGAGTCATGGACAGAAGGCATCTCTTCGCTGGGAGAGAATGCTGGGGATCTCAAGCGGTACAGTGATAAGGTATGTACTCGCCACAAGGCGCACATTGATCCAATACGTTCCAGACCCTGTGCACACAGTTGTGCCGTTTTTCAACCACCATGTAGACAGTAACCAAAGGGTTATATGTCAGTAAAGACATCGCATACGAGTTGACAGGAGAGTCTCAGATGGTTCTGGTGGATGACCGGCGCATTCGTGGCCGACAATGGTGGCCACGTGCTCGTCGACATCGGATAATTGATACCGAGTATTCGACCACTGCTCAGGCAGCGCTTTTGAATTTACTCAGGTATTGTGTATCAAGCATCAATATGCCATACACCTGGTGATGAAGAGTATCGACGAATCCCTCAGCGAACACGTGCCAATCAAACATAGCAAACGCAAAGTCTAAAGGGTACCGAACATATCTCAAAGTGGGGTCAGAACTATATATATATATATATATATATATACTTGGTGTTGGTGGTATGCATGCTGTGCAGAGATAGTTCAACTGATGTTGTGTAGTCACTGGTGCAATGCAAACTGCGGAGCCACCTCACGATACTGTTCGGTAAGCTAGCGACAATGTCAATACTGCTTATGTTGTTCTCTTTGGCTGATGAAATTATACAAGAACCACATCCGTTCCTGTACTAATCAGGACTGGTACGCATATGCCTATCTTGCCTCTTGAGATTGCATTTGTACAAGGTGCAGGGGAAAACGTAAGAGTGGGGGCTGCATGCCTGGCGTCGACTCTAAAGCCGGTGGCAATTCACATACTTGACGACACAAAGTGTAATATTTCAACCCAAGTATCTATCACGGATTTTTATTCCAAACTTCGCGTACATTTTACCCTTTAATTTCGCGCAGGATAAGGCCACAGTTAAAGTCCATGGGATCACACTACAGCATCTCTTAGAAGAGCTCAGAATCGAACCTGGACGCCTCAATATCTTACAAATAGACGCAGAGTGTTATGGTAGGTGCCAATCTAAAGTTACTACTAAATAGGTGGTAGCTAGATTTTGGTCATTGTAAGATATCATGTAATGCCATGTGATACCTTCTTTTTTGCGCCCGCTGATTACGAATCCTGGCATATTGGCGTGTATACTTGTGAAACGCAGACTGTTTGATTTAGAATTCAGGGCACACGTGTATTTCTATGCATGTCTACACGCTTACATCGCAGCAAGAGTCAACTCTTTTTATATTCCTGTGTACATTTATGCAGCATTCGTAACCACCAACAAAGTGGATTGCTCTTTCACATATATTTAAGTCCAACAAAAAAGTTCTACTCTTGTTTCCTGTGTAGATTGGATATGTTCTACTGTTTATTCCTGTCACATAGTAACCCAATTGTATTTTAGATTATATTTAGGGTTTAGTAAAACAAAACCCTAAACCTTAAAACCCTAAATCGGTGTATATGACCTTATCGACAACAACCCATCGTGTCGTCTAAGGCTGTCTTCATGACATATTTGTGCCACCGAGATCTGAAACACTCTCTCATAGCATGCACGCAAGTACGCATCTGTACGCACGCACTAACACATGCCTACAATACCTACATACACACGTCAACCAGACTATCACGTACCTACAACACCTACATACACACGTCAACCAGACTAATACATACCTACAATACCTACATACACACGTTACCCAGATGCGCGCATCTTGCTACAATGGCCTGACTTGGAGGAGCACAGACCCACGGTGATCAACATCGAATGGTCGTGCATCAACACTGAGGAGCGGTGCCAGCTGATTCAACGCTTAGTAGACGCTGGCTATACCCACTTTGACCATACCGATAAGGACTTCACTGCGGTCATCGCAGCCTGAGATCTGATCTACGTACAAGCGAGTGGTTAATAGATCAGGAGGAATCATAACGTAATTCAGGATATGGAGTTTGCGCTACGCAGAATGTACAGATGCGCGTTCAGGAATGACTTGAGTACCTGCAATCACTATGGTTAATGTAACATAGCGGACGTCCGGGTTTTGCATTTTAGCGCCTATTTCTTCAGCGGCTGACTTTACTGATGCGATACCCGAGAGACGCTGAATATATCCATCCTGATCAGGAACAAATACTGCCAAAAATTTAAAGCTCGAGTGTCGACGATGTGTGTACATGCAGATCCTTGATGTGTCAGTGGACTGTCAATCTCTGTAAAGGGAATTGATAATAGAAAGCCTGACACTATATGTCCGCTGCAAAATTGGCGGGAAAGTTCTTATCCTTGGAAGTCGTGGCAAAAGGTACATGATAAGCTAAGCAAGAGCTTGCAACCTCAGAAGAAACGCTAATGCCTTAGCTGGTGTTTGCTTATGTTACGATCGGCGGACCGTTGAGACGCTCACTTCGAACGTACCACTATGAACTGCACAGAAGATTGTCCGAGAAAAGTAATATGTGCCTATCCTTGAATCCAAGCACGTGGCGTGTTCTCCATTGCACCTTCAGCAATGGTGGTCGTAAAGCTCTAGCGACGGCAACGAGATACAGATGACTCGGGCTGGACAACTTGATCACGCTGGCTGAAGCTTTCTGCAGTCCACTCCACACTGCATGTGGCAACATGAACAGATCGCAATCAAGTGCTTATTCCGTCACAAGAGCTTTCCAGACTCGAACTCCCTGGCGCCCTGGCTTAGCCAAGACTTTTCTGTGGTTTTCTTTCAAGTCATGTAAAAGTATGGAGTCATTTCTGTTATACTCCAATCACACATATTAAAATCCTCATAGGGTTTCAAGCTTCATCCGCGCAAACCTTTTCAAATATTGTTTGCATAGCTGGATTGGATGGTGATTCCCTAGGCCTGTTTGCGCCTTGAGCTTACAGTATGTGTCTGGCAATGTATCACGGTAGCCGTGGATAAGTGGACGGCTGGTTGTACTACCTTTCACCCGACTCAAGATGAACCCGACACTAAATGTTGCAGCCTTTAGAAATTTGTTATGTTCGCGAGGGACAATTAAAGCCTACATGCGATTACTGTCGTTTAATGTTTTCGACTATAATGGCATGACTGATGTTTTTAGTGATAGAACAAACTCATGAGACAAATTGGAAGTCTTACTTGACATTCCTGAAACGATTCATAGTGCACCTAACTGAGATATTGATGTATACTTCTTGAGACTCAAGTTTCCGATATTTTAAATTTATGCATCAACTGTTTGACGTTTATCAGATGCTGGACGAGCGTTCAGATCCGACTTACGACAGGGCACAAGCAAAAATCTTGCGAGGGGTGTTTTTTTTTGAAGAAAATAAATATCTGTTTTTGGTCAAATTTAATATTGCTTTAAAAAAAAAGAGCTGCCTGTCTGATATAGAAGGCTATGTAAATGCATATATAGTATTTACATTTAGTCTATATTGCGGTCTGCGGACTGAACGTACTTTTTATTTGTTCTAGTAGAGCAAATAATTGTTTTATTTCAATTTATTTTCTTCATGTTAGAACCTGATGCAGCTATGGAATGTGATGAAAATTTGCTTTAGAGTGATGCGTAGGTTGTGCACACACTAATTAATACTCTAGCATAATCTGAGTAATGTGAAGGATCAAAAATTGTCCGATGGGCGTATTGCAGACAGTTCCAAGCAATCCTGATTGCCAATTTTTAGCTTCAAAAACATACTGTATAGCGCTAGGAATGATTTATATACCTTTCGAACAGATAAAATAGGATTGTACCCGATATCTATGCCACAAAAACAGCGTGTAAAGCCTTCAACTGTGTGTGGTCGACGGTCAGTGCTGTGCTGATGGTGGTGACAGCGGCAGTCTTTACCCTGCCCAGCAGGTGTGTACTTGTGTCTCCCGTGTGATCGGCACTCTTCGGTGTCAAGGCCTAAGACGAGGAATGCAAGTTCAGTACAGTATTTGGTGATCAAAATTGTGTTCCGAACCACAGGCACAGCAGAATGATACAGGGTATGTGTTGCGATAGACCACGATGTGTGTTCAGACCCGTCAAAGCACAAACTAAACTAAACAAGATGCCATAAACAAGATGCAATGGCAAGTTCGTCCTAGATCATATACATAGCTGCCGTACTACAACTGGAAGTGATACCCTGGGCACATGGAGTACACCACATAACATTATAAAACCACATCCTTAGATCATACGACAGGGCCTTACCTTGAGTAGCGCAGGGGTCGGGAATTCTTTGAAGGCCAACTTAGACGTCGGTACAGCTAGATGAGCTATCCGAGACATGGCCTATGACAAGAAAACATGCAAGCAAATAAACTTAAGCATATGGTGTACTATGATAGACTGAGCAAGGATTCGCTCAAGGACAGGCCAGTTGATTTATTAAGTATAGGCAAGCACACGATTATCCAGCCCAACCACCCACCC